AAATACAATGACAAAAAAAAAAAAAAAAGCTATTTTAAAATGTTGGAAAACAAAACAATACAAAACAAGACAAGAATCTCTAAATTAGAAGATAAATAAACAGAGTAAAATTTATAGCCAGAAACTTTCAGGCTTATACTTACAGAATTCAACTGAGGACTGAGACCCAAAGAAGCTCAACAAGTTTTAATTCGAAAAGAAATGACCAGAGTGTGACAAGCACACACTATTTCATATTTCAGTCCAGGACATTCCATATAGAAATGTGTCCAAAGTGTCATTTTTTTTCTTTTAAATAAATTATATCTTGACCAAAGAAGAATCTGGGATCAGCTATTAGGTAAAAGAAATGACTTCATTCTAAATCTCTATGCTTTTGAAGCAAAGTTAAGACGTCTATGTGCAGTCAGTACTTTTTGATCTGATTCCTGTAAGAAGACTATGGATTATATAATAATTCATTATTTCAAATAAAATTCCCATTTCTTTATTGGTTTTCATTGGAATTCAGGTCTATGACCTACGTAGATGTGATTCTGGTCTAAATCCACATTAGAACTAAGCATCCCAGCTCTGGCTCAGCCCTGAGACTCACACACCTATGGGCTTGCAGGTCCATTCTCCTTTTCCATTACCAAGACACACACACTCTAACATGTAACCACCAGTCTCGTGTGGTCTCCTCCAGGTGTCACCAATCTTGTAGGACTGACCCCCTTCATGGCAGCGGTCTGTTGAAGATACAACACAAATGTTAGGAGAGGGCAGAACCGATTTTTCTCTTTTTTTTGGTCTCATGTTCCACCCATGGTAGGTACTTAGGTTGGCTAAAGTAGAGACACAGACAACAGCTTTCCCATCAGAGACAGGGGAAACATGAACAGGTCTGGTCACTTGGAGTCAATTCAATTAAGTGTCTTGTTTAGAACACAATGGAAAACCACAGAGAAATCTGGATAGCAAGGAAAAGGTCAAAAATCCTGCTTTCCCAGAGAGATCACAGGAAATTGGGTCCTAAGCAGAAAAGAAAGGCTGGGAGGCTTGGTCTTCACTCACATACAGCAGGCTAAGACTGAGACTAATTCAGTGAAAAGGCCACAGCAGGCATAGCACTCCAGGTTTTAGGAGCATGGAGAGCCTGTATTTTACCCTAGGATAGAAATGTCATTTTGGGGGAAAGCAAACAGACACATACATATAAAGTGTGGAAATCCTGGTAGTTTTCTAAGGTGTTAAGTCCAATGGCACATTCAAATGCTGAACTAGACTAAACACTATGGACCCTTGCCTCTTGTGATTTGCCTGTAAAGTTGGATAAAGCCTAACATGAAGTATGGGGTAACTTGACTGGGCCTATTCACACGGAACTCTTTTGAATAGAAGCCTTTAAGATGACTTATATTTAAAGAATGGATCTAAAAACTTAAATACTATGTTAATAGAATCTATTGGTAACTCAGTGAATCATACTGGAAAGAGTGCCTTAGCTAAACTGGAGTTGATGAGAATCAACCCGGTTCCCAAAGTTCCTTAGCAAACACGATTGGGTTAATAATTTAGTATTATCCCTTGGAATAGGGACATCTGCTTCCTGGGTCACCAAGAAACCAGACTGTTTCTGTGAGGTGTAAGAGGTCTCTGCATGGCAAACAAGAAGATCAGACAACACATGGCTTGTTCACTCTTCATGAACACCTTCCCAGTCATGGCAGAAAAGTCTCAGGATTTGTCTAGCTTGAAGATGTCCAGGTGATTTAAAATGGGCAACTCCCCTAAGCATGTCTTATTGAAATGGAACCCAAGAGGTCTCTTGGATCTACTATGTACACAAACACACACACTCATAAATGCACACACATCAAACACTGATTCCATCTGTGCTCATACCCGTCTTTAAGAAACACAGGAACCAGTTGGGTGACCACTTAAGAGTACCTGGTCACCAGGGCCAAATCCCAAAGTTAGGAATATCCCGTCATGGATAACAGAAAGTGACAGTGATGGTAACAGAGAAATTCATATTTGGTATTTTGGCGTCATTTTACACAATGTCTTCCTTACTTGCTATGGTGCAGCTTATTCTCCCTCGCCCAGCCCCGATGCAGGTACAGTCCCAGATCATGGAGTCTTTAGGACGCTCATAAGTGTCACCCACTCGGTAAGTGTTCCCAGTGTACTTGTCAAAGCAAGTCTCTTCAGCTGAGGGGAAAAGGAAAGTCCACGTGAGCCTCACTTAGGTACAAGTTTTTCTAGTTCACTAATCCCCTCTAAAGGAAAACCCACTTTTCTATTCCACAAGTAACATGGTACAACTCAAAGAATAAAATGAAGTGAGTGAGAGATACAGATTTTTATCCTAGGCTGTAATAAGGCCATGGTTTCTGACCTTGACAAATTCTCAAATTTTCTGTAAATTATTCATATTGTAAAGAAATCTCAGGCTCTTAGAAAAAGGCCATATGAAGTACTAACTTATGACAGAGCTAGATTTGTGAAGGGTTTCAGATCCCAATCTCTGACTCAGGAAGTCAAACCAAGGTTCACATAAAAAGCAAACAACTGGCTGAGCACAGTGGCTCAAGCCTGTTATCCCAGTACTTTGGGAGGCCAAGGCGGGTAGATCACCTGAGGTCGGGAATTCGAGACCACCCTGACCAACACGGGGAAACCCTGTGTCTACTAAAAATACGAAAATTAGCTGGGTGTGGTGGTGTGCGCCTGTAATCCCAGCTACTCAGGAGGCTGAGGCAGGAGAATTGCTTGAACCCAGGAGGCAGAGGTTGCAGTGAGCTGAGATCATGCTACTACACTCCAGCCTGGTGACAGAGCAAGAGTCTGTCTCAAAAACAAAACAAAACAAAACAAAAACAAAGAAACAATTCGAAGATCCCCACCTCCCACCAGGCCTTAACATTTGTTAATCCTATGATTTCCATTTTCCCCTCATGAGTGCTTCTCTGACAGAGTTGCTATAAGAAAAATGTCAATGGTCTCAAAGGAATGAGAACTTTGAAGTGGCTAGTGGTTTTGTGTTAACTGCCGCTGACAAATTATTTTATAATATAGGTCCCCAAAGTGTTTTCTGGCTCATAAACTAACAGTTTAAGATTTGAGACTGCTTTATAATAAATTAAAATTTTATAAGCAATTTTTTTTTTTTGGTCAGAGGACACACAAAATCTTTGATTTTCTCATCAAAAACTGGGAGAGTAAAGCAAAAACAAGACTCTAGGAACTAATTTGGGAAAGATTCGTTTCTTTGTTTTAAAGGTAAAAGCATGTGAAAAGCAAACATAAGCAGTTTTTAAACGTTTATTCAGAGGAAATGACAGGTAATTCTATTAGAAAAATGGTGTATGTATTTTTACTTACGAATGCAAAGTTTAACAATCACCACTTCATGTATTAAAAGATACTAACTATGGGGCTTGTGGTCACTTACCTTCAGGTTTACTCTCGCAGTTAAAACCTCGGCTTCCTCCATAACAAGTACAAACCAAGGCATTGCCCAGGTAGGTCCGCTCCCACTGTTGATTTATCTGATAGTGTTTTCCATTGTCATAACAACCAGCTGCAAATAATTGAAGGAAAACGTTACTACATTTCCATTCCTCCTTTTCCCAAAATTATGGAATTTTCTTCATGTGAATATTTAGGTATATATTTTTTTCCTTTCAACTTTGCTAAAAGTTATATACAATGATGTCATTTGCATCTGGCCAGGGGTCTACATAAAAAAGTTGGAAACATTTTGGAAGGCAGACAATTGAAATCACATTTTTAAAACTTGCAAGGAACTTAACTATTCTTTTGGAGTAATAGTAAAAAAGGACAACTTTAAGCAGGTTTCTCGAAGCAAAAGGAGGGTGTGTCTTTGAAAAATGGAAAGAATTCCAACCTCTGTTCTTGGTGAAGTATCCTGAGCGGCCCTAAAGAGGTTAGAACCAATTACATCTCTTCCAAGTTAGTTACAAACAAGACAGCTATTTCAATACCCCCTTTCCACCCCCATGTTGAAAATATTTGACCAATTATTTAACAGAAGGAAATAAGTAGCAGTAAGGACCACACTGATCCTGGACGGAAAATTTATAGACATGCATCATTTTTCTCTTTAAAAGCAAGTTTTGGTTAATTCCTAGAAGGACAATCTATCTGAACGGGCAGAATTTATTAGAACACGGGTAGGTCGCAGAGTCCCCGTTCTCCAATGCATGATCTTATCATCTCAGGCCCTCAGAAGCAGCCTACTCAAAACTCGTTCCTTTTGTGTGCACAGCTGGTTTCTCTCAGTAAAGCGCGCACACACTCGCACACACGCGCGCGCACAAAACTTCAGCCCCAACTTTGGTCGGCTTTAGGGTCCCATCCCTGAGGTAGCCTGTTTCAGCCCGCGGTCAGTACTCACGCTTGCTTTGACTGACAGCCACCGGAGACTGGGGCTGAATCATTTGCTGAGCCTGCCTCTTGCTCTTCGAGGCTCCCGTGGAGGGCACCGCTGTCCCCAGGCACAGGACGGCCAGCAGCAGCAGCCCGGGCCCCGGACCCCTGAGCATGTTGAGACGGTGGGGAAGAGACGCCCTCACCGGGAGGCAAGTTGCCACCAAGTTTGCTTCCCTTCGCAACCTGCGGGAAAAATCCCTTCCAATGCCTCCCGGGGGTTGACGCCTCCAATAAGGTGGGGGCCAGAGGGTGGGAAGGGGACGGGTGGAGGAACAGAGGGGATGCAGAGGACCAGAGAAGTTGTGGCTGCAGGTCCCCTCTCCCCGCTCGCGCCTGGGGTTCCCTCTCCTCCCCCTGTGCAGCACAGCCGGCGCGGGCGTCCGAGCCCCGGGAGCCGGGGCTTATATGGGACGGTCCCCTCCCGCCCTGCTGGAGGCCTGGGGCGCGGGGGAGGAGAGACCCGCTGGGCTGTCCCCGTCCCGCCCGCGGCCGCCGACCGCGCGCCGATTGGCCCGGGCTCCGGGTGACGTCACGGGGGACTGTGGGTTCGCAGCGAACAAAAGAGATGCTGATGGCCCGCCAGGACTGGGGCAAGACAACTTTTTTTTCGGTTTCCTTTGCGGTCATCAAACTTTTTAGGGGATGGGGGCAGGGATGGGAAGCGGCTGGGAGGAAAGGGAGTGGCTGGACTTGTGTGAAGCGAAGGGGTTGCAAGACGCTCCCCCTTCCCTTTTCTTTTTTATTGGGGGTGGTGGTGGTGTTTGAGGACATTGCATCACCTCTGGTCGGGCTGAGGGGGGGGAGTCTCTGCTTATAGGAGTGTATTTTGTGGGGAAGAAACCCCATAAAATATCCACCACCTTGCAGCTGTAAGAATCCAGACTTTTCAGTCCCAGGGCGGGGCTGCCTTTCCCCCCACCCTGCTCGCTTTCTTTGGACTAGAGGGCACTGACTCCGGACTCCCTTATTTTGTCTTCACAGCTCCCTGTTCGGACTTCCCTTCTCAGCTCTGCGCCTGTCTGACTCTGAGAAAGGGCCAGGGGACGAACGGGGAGCGAAGGGGAAAAGAGACCTTGAATGAGCTTCTACTAAGTACCGGGAGTTCCACGGGGCGCTTTGCAGATCCCGGGGAAGTTCAGAGAATGAAGTTTTCCTTTGCAAGGACAAAGTAACAGTTTGCTTTTTCACAAACGCAGGAAAGCCTTTCTTTCCTGGGGATGGGACGCCCGTTTCCACTGAAAGTGAAATCACTGTGAACAACCTGAAAATTGGAAAGTTGGACCAGCTGTGGGGAGCGAAAGGTCTTCGTGTCCTTTCCCACGTTCACCGTGCCAGTGACACACAAAGCAGAGATTTTTTTGCTCGAATCATTAAAAGCCGGGTGGGTAGGGGGCACCCTGTGTACTGTCTTGCCCTCCTTCGGTCCCTTTCTCTCATTTATTTGCCATTTTCTTTTTGCTGACACGTTCCATTGCAGAATGCCCCCTCCATCCCCCGCCGCCAGATTTTTTCTATTTCAATTGTTATTTACTCCAAGAGTGTGGAAAGTTCTTTAAGATTCCCCCGTCTCGAACTCTAAACCCAGAGTGGAAAGGGAATCTAAAAAGTCTCTCATTTAGCAACTCATCACATCAGTCCTTTTTTTCAGACAAACGCAAGCACAATTGCTTTTAAAGATCTTCAGAAGGAGGAGTCCACAGCTTCCACAGTAGATCCAGAGAGACCCAAACTGAATGCTTTGCCTTCTCCTTGCGTTAGGATTTCAGAGGTTCCATTTACTTTGAGAGGACATGAAGCTACTAATAAAATATATTTATTTCGGCAAGGTACCTGTTTTCTCCAAAAGTTTAACCTTCAGTAATTGCCACAGGAGTAATTAGAACTCTGTGTTCTATAAAATGCCTGACACATTAAAGACACAAAATTAGCATTTGTTTTTATTCATGCAAGGATTTAAAACCAAACCAAAACAAAGCAAAACACCCAGCAAATATCAGGTTCCTACAAATAGTGTAAAAAAACCTCTTGAGGAATCTTGGTGACCCACACTCCAAGTTGAAAGAGTGCCATGGATTTCCCCAAATTTAGAATTCTGTCTGGGTTAAAGGATTTTTTTTTTTTTTTTTTTTTTTTTTTTTGAGTTTCTCATCGCTTGACAAAACAGTTTTCTCTTTCAAATATAAAAAAGCTCCTTGTAAAATGCTTGGTAAATTTCTGGGAAGCCGAGTGTTTCTTCCAGAGGGATACCTGGAAATCCGGATGTAAGCAAGATAAACCTGTAGCTAAAGCTTTCTTAAAATCCATTGATTCTGGGGGAAGGAAATAAGTGATTAGAAAAGTATTTTCTCACCCAAAACCATGATAGTTTGATATATTTACTGTACTGAAAATACACTAGAATAATATGCATAGTGGAGCTTGAAATGGAAAGCTCACCTTACATTTTGGAAGAAACTTTTGTATTTCAATCCCATAGATATCTAATTTATTTAAGGAAACAGGATATCTCTGTCTCATAAGAAAAAAATAATAACATCTGACTGATTTTTATAGAAATGCTTCGGAGTTTACTCTTTTACTTGAAAGTTTTTTTGTTTTGTTTTGTTTTGTTTTTGCCGTTTTTTTTAAACTTTAGAGACAGAGGCTTTTCTTAGTTATGATAACAGGGCTTACTACAGTATTCTTTAATTATCAAGATCCTTTGCAACTCTAAGTCTGTTATCTCTAACTGGAGAGATAATTAAATCTTAAAGACCATTCTGACTCTAATTCAACCAATGTGTGTGGTGTCCAGGATCTTTGGACTTCCTTAAGAATTCTATTTTATCAAGGTGGTTCTTCCTCAGTAAGTTATATTCTTCTATTGGTAGGAAATGCTCTTGGATTTCTCTTTCTTTTCTTTCTTTCTTTCTTTCTTTCTTTCTTTCTTTCTTTCTTTCTTTCTTTCTTTCTTTCTTTCTTTCTTTCTTTCTTTCTTCCTCTCTCTCTCTCTCTCTCTCTCTTTCTTTTTAAAACTGTACTCAGAGAGGGAAATGTGACAAAAGGGAAATCAATAGAGACAAAGTAGATTCACGGGTACCCAAGTTCATGGGCTGGAAACAGGAATGAACTGTAAAAGGGCACAGGGAATCTAATTGAGGTGATGGAAATCTGTGTTCTAAAACTACATTGCAGTGATGACTGTACAGTTTAGTAAAAGTTTAAGAATTCTAGGGATTATACACTTAAAATGAGTGAATTTTACAGTATGTAAATTATGCTTCAATAAAGTTGTTTTTTTCAAAAGTTGATTTTAAAAGTTAGTATTTGCTCTTTTTTACTCCTAACCATCTCCTGATTTTGGTTTCAAGGATTTGCTCTTAAGTAGCAGCAACATACACAAGGCGTCCTCATTTCTTCATTTTTCTAAGAGGAAGTTTACCGTGAATATAGTAGTGGATTTCTTCTACACCAGTAACTCCTTCTGAAACCTGCTATTTGTGTGAGGGCATATATGTGGTAGAGACAGAACAGATCTTCATTTAGGACTGTGCCTTGTTTCTTCTTGGACTTGCCATAGTGATAGAATTTTCCCAGAGCCTCAGACAACTTAAACTTTTTGTAACAAAAAGAAGCACATATATTTTCAGGAAGTGGGGGGGGGGGGGGGGCGGGTGGCGGGGGGCCATGGTATTGGGAAATTTTATTATTCCAGAAAGTTAAGGAGAAGGTTAAGGAGGGGCATGAGCAATTATGGAAATCTGAATTAAATTGATTTCATTTGTTTTGAAGATTAGCAATGGAAACATTTGATTAAGCACACAAAAGAATTGATCACATCCAGTCATTTAGAAGGACTGAACTAAAAACAGGCCAGGTGTGGTGATTCATGTCTGTAATCCCAGCACTTTGGGAGGCCAGTGTGGGAGGGTCACTTAAGCCCAGGAGTTCAAGTCCAGCCTCGGCAATATAGTGAGACAGTCTCAATAACAATAATAATAACCAGATTTGGTGACAGGCGCCTCTTGTCCCAGCTACTCAGGAGTCTGACTTGAGTCTTGGGGGATGACTTGAGCCCAGAAGATCGAATGATCAAAGCTGCAGTGAGCCATGATCACACCACTGCACTCCAGACCCAGCCTAGGTGACAGAGCAAGATCCTGTCTCAAAAATTTAACATTTAACATTGAAATGTTAAATGTTAAAGGTTACATTTAAATATGTCACATTTATATGTTACATTTAAAAATGTTACATTTAGATGTAACATTTAATTGATGGGCTGTTTTTCCTGAAACCCTTTCGCTTTTGTCCTGTTATTAATCTCTTTCAGTTCTGCTCGAGAGGAGACCACTGACTCTGGAGAGTTCGAACTTTCATTTCATCTTCTTCTATAAGTAGATTAGAGGTAGATAAAAATTAGAGAAAGAGGGAGATTAGAGTAGTTTTTTTTCTTATTTTGAATTTTTTTTTTTTTTTTTTTTGGCATAAAATGCTTCCCTTCTTCCTTGAAAATGGCCAAGTTTACAAAAATGTTACTCATTAACCACAGGTGTGAGAAGTTAAAAATAAACTTCCCTGCGGGCAGCCCTCATGAGTAGAATGTCTGAAAAGTTTGTCAAGAATTGACAGGGTGCCTGCAACCAGGGAGAAAATAGTGGCTAAGGGCTTTAAATTATGCCATGAAAACTAACCAGTTTTTGCTTAATAGGCATTTTGTTTATAGTTTAAGTGACTTTGTTTTTTAATCAGCACTTTTTAAAAGCCTTAATCTATGCTTTTTCTTCTTAACAGGAATATTCTTTTCTCATTAGAGTGATGTAACTCCCAACGGGCATGGCAAAGGCGTTTAACTTATCCAGTAAAATGGGAACTGACTACTATGTAGCTGGAACATGGAACCAAAACTGTCTTGGAGGACATTTCATCTTTCCAAGCAAGGCAGCAGCTTCTTGGAAAAATTTTAATTTTGTGTGTTATTTCATGTTGCTGGCATTAAAGAGTTTTTGTTGTTGTTGTTGAAAGGCTGAATTAAAAAAAATTAGAAGGTTTGCCATATTTAAATTATTTTCTATTCTTTTTACATTAGCATATTTTAAACATCTCATATGCAGCTAATCACAAAAGTTACTTGAGTCAAATGCTTAAAAATAACCACAAACATTATCTAATAAATAACAATTTATGCCAACAATAGACTATTGTGATATAAGCAGTCAATATTTATGCCTACCTGTCTAATTAGTGAATTAATTAGTTAAAATAAATTAAGAATATATTGAACCGAATTGTAAAAATGCCAATATACTTGTAATTGTAAATTTATATTGAACCATTTTCTAGATAAATTTGATATATTCTTTCATTAAGTATAACCATTTTACTGAGATAAAATGGACATTTAAAATCATTACTATTTTAAACATTAAAAACTAAGGCACTGCTTACATGCATGCACATTTAAGTAGTCACGAAGTCACAAAGATTTCAGCACCTAAATAGAAACAATTAAATAGCTGGATTTTATTAAACACGCTAAACCAGATCCCGTACTAAGTGTTTCATATGCATTTTTTCATCTAACCATCAACAAACTTTTAAGGTAAGCACTATCATCTTCTCATTCTTACAGATGAGGAGATAAAGCTTAGAAAAGCAATGTGCAAAAATGTTACTTGTTAAGTACAGATGTGAAAAGGAAAAATAAAGTGCCCTGCAGGCAGCTCTCATGAGTATAATGTCTGAGAAGTTTGTTGATAATTGACAAAGAATGAAGTTTTCTGACTCACCAGCCTTGTAGAAATTGTGGCATCAGGTTGTGTCCCTGTCAATACCAGGTAATTAGTCAAGTGATTACATAATGGTCTCCTTCAGAAACAAATGTATGGACAAGACAATTGGCTAAACAATTTTGTGGGTGACTTCTTTCATATGAGATTGATTTATCAAAAGATGTCACCCAGGACTCTGCTAACTGACATGCTACCAATTTTCTTCTGTTGTAGCCAAGGCCATTCTGCTGGGAACCAGTTTCCTCCAAACAGCCTGGCTGTGTTTTAGCATTTTAAATCAAGTGTGGAAGATTGTTACCATTGACTCTCCACTGGGCTGGAAGTTTGCTGGGGGCAGAGGCTCTGTCTTGTTTCCTCTCTATGCCCAGCACTAGGTACCAGGCACCCTTGGATAAGTACTTGGCAAATGTCAAATGAATGAATGGAAGGAAAGAAGGGCGGATGATGAACACTCTGAGATTCACATTCAGTGACTGTCCAGCCAGGCACAGTGCTAAGTGCTCTTCATATGCTATTTTATTTTATCTTCAAAGCAACTGCCAGAGTAGATATTGATAATGCCATTTTACTCTCTGAAGTTCAGAGCTGAAAGATGGTCCTAGAGCTTATGCTGTAAGACAGGGACAGAGCTGAAATGGAAACCAAGGTTCTCCTGACACAAAATTCTTGCCCTTACGCAAGACATACATGGCTTTCCCCAAAGAGACTTTGCCCTGTATGTTAAAAGAAAGTTAGAAACATTCTCTGGTGGTTACTTCTTATCTTCCTCTAGATTGTTCTGCCTTGCTTCTGGGCCCTGGGCCTGACACTGTGAACTGCAGGGCTGGTTGCTCTGTTTGCTGGAGGACAGAGGATGACAGGTGAGAGTTGTTCCTCCCCACTTCCTCCTTGCTTCTAGCTTCAGTGCCAAGGTTCTGGTGGCAGCTCCCTTTCCCCCAGGACCGGCATTCTCAATGGGGCAACATTGCCCCAAGAGGGTGAAAGTGGGTTCTTGGGGTAGAAGGGGAGTGGTTAAAAAAATTTCAATCCTACCTAATAAAAATGTTATTCCTTAGTTGTGAATTTATCTTTTTTTTTTGGATAGAGTCTTGCTCTGTCACCCAGGCTGGAGTGCAGGGGCATGGTTTTGGCTCACTGCAACCTCTGCCTCCCGGGTTCAAGTGATTAACCTGCCTCAGCCTCCCAAATTGCTGGGACTACAGGCATGAGCTACCTCACTGGGTTAATTTTTGTATTTTTAGTAGAGACAGGGTTTAACCATGTTGGCCAGGCTGGTCTCCAACTCCTGACCTCAGGTGATCCGCCCACCTCAGCCTCCCAAAGAACTGGGATTACAGGTATGAGCCACCACCCCCGGTCATGAATTTATCATATTAGTTAGACTTTTAATTAAATTTCATGTCTTTCCTGGAGGGTTGTGTAGGGTAGGGTATTCACACATAAAAAGAAAAAGGGAGAAACATCGCTCTAGCACAGTAGTCCTGCCCAGGCTGTGGTTCCCCGAGGCTCCAGCTGTCACCAGCTCCTTCCCCATGATGGCAGCCCTAGGAGTGACAAACTGCCTACATTGCTAGTCCCTGGGAACCTCGGCATCCCTTCTTTATCCCTTGGTCTCTTTATCCCTGGGGAAACTAACAGTGCTTTCACCAAACTTTCCCAGCGGAAATCATTTTAATTCCATTTTCTGCTAAAACCCTGGTGATCCAGATTCTTTTTTTTTTTTTTAGATGGAGTTTCACTCTTGTTGCCCAGGCTGGAGTGCAATGGTGCGATCTTGGCTCACCGCAATTTCCACCTCCCGGGTTCAAGCAATTCTCCTGCCTCAGCCTTACAGGTATGCACCACCAAGCCCAGCTGATTTTTGTATTTTTAGTAGAGACAAGGTTTTGCCACATTGACCAGGCTGATCTTGAACACCTGACCTCAGGTGATCCACCTGCCTTGGCCTCCCAAGGTGCTGGGATTACAAGCGGGAGCCACTGTGCCCAGTGACGATCCAGATTCTAACCATCCAATGATGACATGAGCAGCCTACCCCATAGTTTTAAGCCTTAAATTATAGCAGAATAGACTTAGGACACACGAATTCTTTTACAACCTTAGCAACTAGTATTAATCATGCTGTGATTTCTTTGTATTTCCCATGACTTGCATGGTCTTATTTTTTTCTTTCTCTACTCTAAAATGCCCGCCCTTTTAACACTGTATCTTTCCCAAAGTAAAATGCTCAGATGATAGGAGCAAATGACATAGTGATCATACAATGATGGAGAAAAGAAACCGGAATTTTATATTTAAATTTATGGTATTTTAGACAGGGTCTCACTTTGTTGCCCCGATTGTAGTACAGTGGCAAGATCTTGGCTCACTGCAAAGTCCACCTCTCAGACTCAGGCAATCCTCCTACCTCAGGCTCCTGAGTAGGCGGGACTATAATCCTCCTACCTCAGGCTCCTGAGTAGGCGGGACATGTACACCACCATGCCCAGCAAAATTTTAGTATTTTTTGTAGAGATGGGGTTTCGCCATGTTGCACAGGCTGGTCTCAAACTCCTGGGCTTGAGTGATCCTCCCACCTTGGCCTCCCAAAGTGTTGGGATTACATGTGTGAGCCACCACATGTGGTCATGTCTTGACTTCTTAACTGTCTTGGAAATAATTTGATTTTGTCCAAGTAATTTTGTTCACGCAAAGAAGTTGAGCTCAGGGGCACATCAGAAAGAAATTCATCTTTTAAAGTGTTCCTTAAATCTACAAATGCAATAAATGTAAAAGCTAAAGGTTTTTATATATTTTTCACACATGTAAAAATGCAAGTTTTGCCTTTAAATTCATTTTAGGTACTGAAATAATCTAGCTGAGACCATGTAAAGTCAAGGAAAGCTTATTCAGATCTGCTCTACTTCAGCATGTGGTAAATTCCTAGGAGTTCACAATATTAGTGTAGACAAATTCCTTCTCTAGAAACAAAACCTTGGACAGACCTGGTAGACTAGTATCACTTATGCCTCACAGAGACTTTCCATCAAAACCAAACAAAAATCTGTCATATCTTTATTCATAGAATACAGTGTGATACTAGGGAACACAACTGTTTCTGAAATGCATTGAAACTGATAGTATTCTATAGATTTTTCTACTTGCATTTCTTCTTCTTATTATTATTGTTGTTGTTGAGACTGAGTCTTGCTCTATCACCCAGGCTGGAGTGCAGTGGCATGATCTCAGCTCACTGCAGCCTCCGCCTCCCGGGCTCAAGCAATTCTCCTGTCTCAGCCTCCCCAGTAGCTGGGATTACAGGTGCCCACCCACTACACCTAATTTTTGTATTTTTAGTAGAGATGGGTTTCACCATGTTGGCCAGGCTGGTCTCGAACTCTTGACCTAAGTGATCTGCCTGTCTTGGTCTCCAAAAGTGCCAGGATTACAGGCGTGAGCCACTGTGCCTGGCCTCAATTTACATTACTTATTTTTCAAAACCTAGAAAATCCATTAATTTTGGCTTGTTTGAATTTAAAAGTGATTATAATGTTTTTGTTAGTTATATATGAGCAGTATTTCACTACAGCTCATCTTAAAGATATTTGATAATTTATCCTCTGTTTTTACAGCAAAATGGTCACATTTTTGTCAGTTGACAATAAATTCTTTTTTTTTTTTTTTTTTTTTAATAGAGTTGGGGTTGAACTCCTGGCCTCAGGTGACCCACCCAGCTTAGCCTCTCAAAGTGCTGGGATTACAGATATGAGCCACCACACCTGGCAGACAATAAATTCTTGAAAGATTCCTGATACTTTACCAACTTACACATTAAGTTAATCTTCCCATTTTCTTTGTCCAATTAAGTTTTAAAGCAAAATAATATAAATATTTATAGACCCAAATTGTAAACACATTTCAGTTTTGAAGAACAATATAAAGTAAATATGCTATGGAATTACAATTAGAACACCAAGTTTGCACTGATATTTTTAAAACTTCTCTGGGGAACTGAGTTTTTCAACTTAAGGACACAACGTATTAAATTAGAAAGTATTTTCCTTCACTAATGAAAATTTTTGTTTTTTAATTGTCTATTGTTCTCTTTCAACTTTGAGTTTTAATGGCAGACCAATTAATGTTGCTTAAAGTTACAACTTAGACAAACAGTTAAAATATCTTAGCAAATTGTGGTTCTGGTTGTTCTCCTATATAGGAGGTAATTATACAGGTAATTAAGAG